AAAGACTTAACCTGATTACAATCTAGCCTAGCTCCAGCATAGCTTCTTCTGATAAATGATCCCAGTTGCTATTTACCCCTGGTAGTGTGTGTGGTAATTGAGCCTAGCTCCAATAGCCTGGTGGTAGCTTTGTCTAGCTGTTGAGTTAGCTTAGCTCTAATAAAGCCCAGGACTAACTTAGCATAAAGTTTGGTTGCAATCGAATTAGCTGTTAGCTCCACAAACACACTCGCTATGGATCCGGACAGAGAAGAAGCTGACGTGTTTTCGGACACAGAAGAGCCGAGCCCTCTGAGAGCAGATACCGTAGAGGAGGAGGTGGAGGAGGAAGAGGAGGATGAGGAGGAAGATGCTAAGATCTTCAATGCCTGGATGCAGCGGTACAGAGGGGGTGAGCAGCAGGAGAAAATTGGAGAAGAAGATGAGGAGGAGGAGAAGGAGAAGAAGAAAGGAGAGTCAGCCGAAGGGGGAGGAGCTGAAAGTAGGAGCAACGTTGAGCCTCCGGCCCGAATGGGGAGCAACCGCCGGGCGTCGCTGCCGTGTCCGGTAAGAGAACCAACTCAAAGCCGAGGTCGTAGGTCTTGGACATACAAACTTCATCCATTAAAGTTGGGTTCAAAAATCGTTGATTATCGGTATTTTCCAGTTTCCGAGTCGTACCTGTGCCTTGGGTGTTGACATGAATTGTATTTACGAGTTGTTACACCGACAGACAGACAGCAACAGATTAGTGATGGATGACGAATATGTTGGACTTGCTTCAGAAGGTGTACAGAGTCAACCTATCAAAGTATGAGGCCATGTTTCTCTGGTTAACTGTGGATCGTTCCCCTCAAATTGGGCATGATCTACTGCCCCCAGCATCTAGGGGCAAGGGTAAGATGGAGCATGAGATCAACAGGTGGATTGGTGTGCTGTCTGCGGCGACTGTACTGGATGGCCGTGGTCAAGAGAGACCTGAACCTGAAGGCAAAGCTCTTAATTAACTAGTCGATCTATTTTAAAACCTTCAACAATGGCCACAAGCTTTAGGTACAGTAGTTACCAAGGATAGGTTGAGGAACTCAGACATGCAGGAGGAGCTTGGACTACAACCACCACCGTTCCTTCATCTTCAAAGAAGCCAGTTGAGGTAGTTCTGGGATCTGATCCACATTCTTTGTGGAAGCTTCCCTGTGGAGGTATTTCGGGTCCAACTGGAAGCTGAGCCCAAGCAGATCCAGAACACACTAGAGGGATGGACTTGGAACAACTCTGGATCCCCCAGGAGGAGCTGGAGCGACGTCGCCAAGGATGAAGACGTTTGGGCCACCTTACTTAGTCTGCTGCCTCTGCAACCTGGACCTGAATAAGCAGTGGGAGACTCAGAGTATCGCTACCTCGCGGTACTTCAATTCGTATGGAAGAAGACTTGAAAATAGAGATTGAGACCACAAACTCATGAGGAAACTGTTTATTAAAGTTCTCCATAGGACTCAATACTATCAGAGAATACAGGTTTAAGACACGTCACAGACCCAGAAGCTCTGTCCCTTAAATATACTGTCAATGGTTCACCCCAGTTTATTCAGTCAACTAGCTGTGTGTTCATAGCTCCTGATCAGTGAGAGCCTCTCAGGGTCCATTTTAAGCTGCATTAGCTTTAACTACTCTAAGGAGGGCAGTTGGGCTTTGGGTGCTGATCAAGGCCACTGATGAGGCTTTTACACTTGTAGTCTTGTTTATTTTTGCCAGTGTTCACAGGATTTTTGGATCAGTGAGTCATTCTGTGTCAAACCTTCTACTAATAATCAGGACTTAGAGGAAGAATACAGGCAACAAATAAAACAGAGAAATGATCAAATTAAAAGTTATTAACTGAAACTACTGGAGCTGGACTTGGAGATGGAGGTGGTGACCAGTCAAACCAGTTAACCATCCTTCTCTCTCTGCCCAGCACACTCTGTCGGCCATGCAGCTGTCTCGTCTGCACTCGTCCACCAATGCTCCGGTGACGGCGAAGGTTCTGCTGCGCCGTTCTTCCTCCCGCCGCCTCCTGCAATCACAGCAGGAAGCAGCTGCCCCCACCCAGGAGCGAAGACTCTCCCTCATACCCACAATCCCAGAGGCCATTGCGCCCGAGAAGCGGGCCACGTTTAGGAGACGCAACGTCATGTCACTGGTGGGTAAAAACACTGACACATTTAATTCATACATGTTCCTGGGAAGAACTAATTTGATGGTCTTTAATAGATTGATTGGAGAGAAATGCCCGACCAGCAGTCAGTCTGTTATTTTATTGCAGTTTTTCCCTCATTGAAGCTGAAATATTCAAGACGACAGTGTGTTTGTGTTGCAGAGCGACGCAGACAGTGTGTGTCTGATCTGTCACAACGACCTGAACCGAGGAACCGGTGGCACCAGAGAGCTGCAGTGCACACACACCTTCCACAAAGAGGAAAAAAAAAAAAAAAAAAAAAAACACACACCCCCCCCCAAGTAACACACACACACACACACACACACACACACACACATGCACACACACCTTCCACAAAGAGGTAACACACACCCACACACACACACACACACACACACACACACACACAGCACACACACACACACACACACACACACACACACACACACACACCTTCCACAAAGAGGTAACACACACACACACACACACACACACACACACCTTCCACAAAGAGGTAACACACACACACACACACACACACACACACACACACACCTCCCAAGGGTAACACACACACACACACACATACACACACACACACACACACACACACCTTCCACGAAGAGGTAACACACAAATGTGAAATATCATAAATACTAATAAATACAGTTAAACTCCAGTTTTATACTGTTATAAGTTTCTAAAATGATATAAATTAGTGACATTAACAGTAAATAAAGTATTTGTTGTGTAATTTTAATGTATTAGTGAGTTAACTGACAGATATGTTGTATAATGATGGAAGTAGAATAAATGTTGTTTATCAGTGTATAAGGTAAACTGTCCAAATACAGTTGTTATCAGTGTAAACAGCAATAATTACTGTAATCTCACAGATAATGACTTTTATTACACTTCTATAACTTTTAACATTCACATTAAAATAATAACAATCCAATAATAACAGCACTCTGCTGTAAATGTAAGTCTGATTATTGTATTATAGCAGAGTTCACCTGGATTTATAGATCATTGTTTACACTGTAAATATCTTTAATTCAACATTAAAAAGGTCAAATTGAAGTTAAAACTGTATTTTTATGAGCTGCCAGAATATTACAGTCTGTTTTACAGTGTAGATATTAAAGTAAAATGAAAGGCTTTTAGGAGGACAGGTATGTGTTTATTTCACAATGTTTATACCTCAGATACATGTAGCTTCAGAGCCTGTGTGTGTGTCTGCAGTGTATAGAGGAGTGGTTGTGGAGGAAACAGTCCTGCCCCACCTGCCATGTTCAGGTGTCCATACCGCAGCCCGTCTACTGGAACTCCACCAGGGTCAAGGTCCCCTAAAACCACCCAGGACACAGCGTTACATCATCAACCTAAAGTAGTGGACTGTGACGTCACCGAAGCTCGTTTAAACGTCCACCAGTTCCCCAAAACATTTAGCTGGGAACTATGACATCATCAAATGCCACCAGAAAGAGGACAGTGACATCACCAACGGCCCCCAGGACTGTGGCACTGTTACATCATCAGAATACAATGAGGTAGAAGACAATGACGTCACTGGGAGTAAATGAAAGGTAGAATTAATTCATAATTGGACTTTATACACGTTATAGCAGTCGAATGGATGTAGATTTCTACGTAAGTGACCATTGAGGAGCTACAGTACAACCACAGTAGCCTCACTGTGTGTGTGTGTGTGTGTGTGTGTGTGTGTGTGCACAGCAGTACTTTAGTCGACTGTTTTTATAAGATTAGCAGCTGTTGTTGAGATGCTTGAATAAAGTTGGATTGTATGAGTTTCATCTTTCCTTCCTGTGACCGCTGCATTGCATTTTACTGCAGGTTGAGCTGATTTCAGCTCCTGTATAAAGTGTTGCACTATATATATATATATATATATATATATATATATATATATATATATATTATTATACCATCAGGCAGCCGATTTCCAGCTTCTCCCAGAGGGGTTTTAATTTGTTTATTTAGTGTATTGTTTAGTAACTTAAGCTGTCAGACAAATGTAGTGGAGTAAAAAGTATACAGATTTATAAAATGGAAATAACAAATGTTTTGTAATAATCTCAGTTACACACAGAGTTTGTTCTTTGAGTTAATTTCTGGTAAACATCATTATTGTGGTTGTAAATATGTTTCCTGCCTGGGGTTGATGTGGGGGAAACAGCGCCCCCTCTGCTCGCGTTGTGGCCAGAGGCGGTACTGCAGGCGGAAGTGCTGCACCTGTTGACTGTTCGGTGTCTAACGTCGAGCACCTGTAACCGCACTCACCTGTAACCGCACTCACCTGTAACCGCACTCACCTGGGAAGCTTCTGGAAGCTCCGAGAGGGTTCATCCACAGGCAGGCACACAACAACAGGACTTTATGGATAAACTGAAGAAGGTGCTGAGCGGGCAGGATGACGGAAACCCGGGAAACTCTGACGGACCCGGAATCCTGGAGGTAACGGCAGCTGGGGTTAGCTGGGTGGCTTGTTACTGGGAGCGTTACACCAGTTAGAAACCAGCACTGGCGACACAAACTGCACCACATATAAAGTTAATGTAATACTACTCTATTACTGCAGTAAAAGTACTAATACCACTGTAATACTACTCTATTACTGCAGTAAAAATACTAATACTGTAGTAATACTCTATTACTGCAGTAAAAGTACTAATACCGCTGTAATACTACTCTATTACTGCAGTAAAAGTACTAATACCACTGTAATAATACTCTATTACTGCAGTAAAAATACTAATACTGTAATACTACTCTATTACTGCAGTAAAAGTACTACCACTGTAATAATACTCTATTACTGCAGTAAAAGTACTAATACCACTGTAATACTACTCTATTACTGCAGTAAAAGTACTAATACCACTGTAATAATACTCTATTACTGCAGTAAAAGTACTAATACCGCTGTAATACTACTCTATTACTGCAGTAAAAGTACTAATACCACTGTAATACTACTCTATTACTGCAGTAAAAGTACTAATACCACTGTAATAATACTCTATTACTGCAGTAAAAGTACTAATACCACTGTAATAATACTCTTTACTGCAGTAAAGTATAACTGTAATACTACTCTATTACTGCAGTAAAAGTACTAATACCACTGTAATACTACTCTATTACTGCAGTAAAAGTACTAATACCACTGTAATACTACTCTATTACTGCAGTAAAAGTACTACCACTGTAATAATACTCTATTACTGCAGTAATGGTATTGTTTACTTTATGTTGACAGTTGACTTTTATTCCGAAGAGTTAATATTTCCTTTGACCTGAAGCTCTCTCTCTCTCTCTGTATCTCTCTCTCTGTCTCTGTGTGTGTGTCTGTCTCTCTCTCTCTCTCTCTCTGTATCTCTCTCTCTGTCTCTCTCTCTCTCTGTCTCTCTCTCTCTGTCTCTCTCTCTCTCTCTCTGTATCTCTCTCTGTATCTCTCTCTCTCTCTCTCTCTCTCTCTCTCTCTCTGAGTGGAGTGTGAGTGTGAGTGTGAGTGGAAGAGTTGGATGAAATTGAGTGTTTTTCTCTATTTCCTTCTTTCGGTATATTTTCGTTGTGTTGTGTTTGTGAATGTAGTTGTGTTAGTTTAGTGTTGTTTTGGTTGGTGTTTGGTTGTTTGTTGGTTAGTTTAGTGTTTGTTTGTTGTTTGTCAGCCTCGCTCTGAGGCGCCGGTATGGCGTCCAGCAGCGTTTTCTCCAGGCTGACACGGAAGCACGGTATTAAAACCGGAGCCGGCTCTCCGTGCAGGGTGGAGGAGGTAGCACTGGCCGTGGGGGAAATCATCGGGCACGGCTCTGTGAAGTCCGCTGCCCGGATGAACAGTGCGGTGGTTCTGTTCCTGTCAAACGTTCCTCCGTTCATCAGTGATGATTTCTTGATTAAAGAGCTGTCCAGACATGGAAAGGTGGTGTCACCCATAAGAAAAGTGCTGTCGGGCTGTAAGTCTCCCCTCCTGAGACATGTAGTGTCTCACCGCAGACAGCTCTTCATGTTGCTGAACAACAAAAACGAGGAGTTTGATTACCGGTTCAGAGTCCGTGTGGATGATTTCGAGTACATCCTCTTTGCGACATCATCCACTGTGAAATGTTTCGGATGTGGCGAAGAGGGACATTTGATTAAGGTCTGTCCGAGCCGCGGTGCGGCGGCTGCCGCGCCCGCGCCGCCTGCTCCTGCGGGGATTCGGGCGGTGTCGGCCGCGGTGGCCGGTGGGGGGGCCGGTGCCGCAGGGCAAGAAAAAGAAGCAGGAGCTGCAGAGAAACAGGTGGAAGAGATGCAGAGCCAGGCTGGAGGGAGCACTGAGGTGAGTAGTGAGAGGGAGGAGGTGGGAGGGGAAACGGGTGAGGTGACAGGTAAGGTGGGGGTGACAGGTGGTATTTTAGATAAAGATGCAGGTGAATTGGTCGAGGATGTGGGTGAAACAGGTGTCCGTGGAGAGGCAGGTGAGGTTCCTGGTGAAGTGGGTGAGGCAGGTGAGGTTGTAGGTGAGTTGGGTGAGGGGTGAGGTTGTGGTGAGTTGGGTGGGGTGAGGTTGTAGGTGAGTTGGGTGAGGCAGGTAAAAGAACAGGTGAGTTGTGTGAAGGATTTGAGGTCGTTGGTAAACAGTGTGAAGCAGGTAAGGAGAGAGAGGCAGGTGAGGCTGTAGGTGAGTCGTGTGAGACAGGTAAATTAGCAGGTGAGCTGAGTGAGGGGAGCACAGTAGCTGAGGCTGAAGAGATGGAGGCCTGTGAGTAGGGGTGGGCGATATGGGCAAAAAATAATATCTCAATATTTTTTGGGATTTTGGCGATAACGATAATCAGTCGATATCCTTTAAAATGTGATTAGAATTGTCTGAGCTGGACATTTAATGGAAATTTGCACATCGTCAAAACAACAATGACGATATTATCGCAAACAATATATATCGCCCACCTCTACCTGTGAGTCTGGGTGGGGGTCTGCTCCTCTTAAACAGCGCAGTAAGAGGAGAAGCATGTTGACCGTGGAGGTGGGTGGTAAAGCCGGACGTCTGGCCGGTAAACCGAGTGCTGCAGAGAACAGAGCAGCTCTATCTGACAGCAGTGACAGTGAAGGGTGTGTGTCTGACAGCAGTGACCTGTCTCACACTCAGCAGGCTGCTGCTCAGGTGTATACTGCCAATGTACTGAAGTCTTTTTTACAACAGACCAAAGGGATGAGGAAGCCAGTGTTAGAGCAGTACTTCCCTGATATGCAGGGTTTCTATAACTCAGCCAGGTATACTGTGAAACACAGAGCAGAGTCAGAGCTGACTGACCAAGAAATATTCAGACTGAAAAAACTGATTATTAAAGTCAGAAAACAACTGAGTTTTTAATGATGGTGAATGTAGGGATTTTATTCTTATTTATTTCATTGATTGTTTTTAGTTTTGTTCTTAACATCTTTATCATTATGAATGTTTTTAAAGTAGGCAGTCTGAATGTCAATGGTGCCAGAGAAACAAGAAAGAGAGCAGTAGTGTTTGAAACGGCTAAAATGAAACATATTGATGTTCTGTTTCTACAAGAAACTCACAGTGATGTTGGAAACGAGGCAGACTGGAGCAGAGAATGGGAAGGAGAACTGATTTTAAGCCATAACACCACCCTCAGTGGAGGAGTGGGCTTCCTGTTCTCCAGAGGTTTTACTCCAACCTCTCTGGAGGTCAGGCATGTTGTGGAGGGGAGGTGTCTTTCAGTCAGAGCTCGTTTTGAACATTTTAATGTGGTTTTTATCAACATTTATGCTCCAAACAACGGTGCAGAGAGGAAACACTTCTTTGAAAATATGAATGATATTTTAAACAGCTGTGGCCCGGAGGATTATTTATTTGTGGGTGAGGATTTTAATTGTACTGAAAATGAGATTTTAGATCGCAACCATGCAGAGCCTCATCCAGTATCCCAGCATGCCTTGAGGCAGCTGGTCTCCTCCCATGGCCTGGTGGACGTGTGGAGAAGGATGCACACAGGCTGCAGACAGTACACATGGTCCCACGTTAGAGAAAACAGAATCTCTTTGGCCAGACTTGATCGTTTTTATGTTTTTAAGCACAAAGTCAGTGTTATAAAAATGTGTAAGATTTTACCAGTTGGTTTTACTGATCATTCTTTGGTTTTATGTAATGTTTTTATCAGAAACATTTTACCCAAAAGCGCCTATTGGCATTTTAACTCTGTTTTAACTGTTGATAAATCTTTCAAGGAGGCTTTAAGTTATTTTTGGAATGATTTTAAACAGAAAAAAACCGAGTTTGTCAGTCTGAGGCAATGGTGGGACCATGGGAAGATTCAAATTAAACTTTTATGTCAGCAGCACACGCTCAATGTCACACGCGACATCACCAGATCTATCAGAGATCTGGAGACTGATATTGTGGATCTCGAGTGTACAAGTGAGTCCACAGGAAATCGAGGATATATTGAAAACCTCAAGACTAAAAAGATGGCTTTAGCCAACCTGCTGGACACTAAAGTACAGGGGGCGCTGGTCCGGTCCCGGGTTCATAACATCACGGAGATGGATGCTCCATCGAGTTTCTTCTTTGGGCTTGAGAAGAAACAAGGGCAGAGGAGACAAATCCACTCTCTGCTCTCTGAGACAGGGCAAGAGCTGACAGAGCCAGGCCTGATAAGGAAAAGAGCTGTTGAGTTTTATGCCTCGTTGTTTGAAAGTGAGTTCAAGGAGAACGAAGAACTGATGGAGGAGGTCTGTGGTGGACTTCCTCAGATATCTAGAGAGGCTAATTCACAGCTCGACAGCCCACTGACTCCACAAGAGCTCTACGCTGCACTGCAGAGCATGCAGGGGCGAAAGGCTCCAGGCATCGACGGCCTCACTGTAGAGTTCTACAAAGCCTTCTGGGACATCTTGGCCCATGACATCATAGATGTGTTTAATGAGAGCCTGGTGTCTGGGTCACTGCCACTCTCATGTCGGAGAGCCATAATTACCCTCTTGCCAAAGAAAGGTAATTTGCAAGAAATCAGAAACTGGCGTCCTGTCTCTCTCCTCTGCACTGACTACAAAATACTGTCCAAAGTCCTGGCCAATAGGCTGAAAGGAACCATGGAGCAGATTCTCCACCGGGACCAGACGTACTGTGTGCCCGGCAGGTCTATGGTAGATAATATCTACCTCATTCGGGATGTTTTGGAGGTCTCCAGTTCATTAGGCATAAACACTGGATTGATCTCATTAGATCAAGAAAAGGCTTTTGACCACGTTGAACACGACTTCCTTTGGAAGGTCATGGAGAGGTTTGGGTTCAGCGCTGGTCTCATAGCCAAGATCAAGGTGTTGTACAGTGACATTGAGAGTGTGCTAAAGTTTAATGGTGGCTTGTGTGCTCCTTTTAGAGTGCATAGAGGGGTCCGACAGGGCTGTGCCCTGTCTGGGATGCTCTATGCACTCTCCCTGGAACCCCTCCTACAAAAGATAAGATCATCTGTTAGAGGCCTGTTTTTACCTGGTTTTAACAGTAGTGTTGTTTTATCTGCTTATGCTGACGATGTCGTTGTTTTTATCAAAGATCAACCGGATGTGTGTGTTTTAAATTCTGTAATCGAGAAGTTTTCTGTTGTGTCGGCTGCGAGGGTGAACTGGAGGAAGAGCGAGGCTCTTGCTGTTGGTGAATGGCGGGAGGGCCTCCCTGTTCTCCCTCAAAGCCTGATATGGAGAAGAGAAGGCTTAAAGTATCTCAGTATTTATCTCGGAAACAGCGACAATGGAAAGAAAAACTAGGAAAACATTTTAGAAAAAGTGGATAACAAACTGGCTAAGTGGAGGTGGCTCCACCCACAAATATCTTTTAGAGGGAGGGTCCTAATCCTAAACAACCTGGTAGCCTCCATGTTATGGCACCGGTTAGCCTGCCTGGACCCTCCAACAGGTCTCATTGCCCAGATTCAAGTGAAGATTGTCAATTTCTTCTGGAACAAATTGCACTGGATACCACAGTCTGTATTGTTTTTGTCCAGAGATGAGGGGGGCCAGGGCCTGGTCCACCTGGCTAGCAGGACAGCCACCTTCAGGCTCCAGTTCATTCAAAAGTATCTGACTGGACCTGAAGATCTGGTGTGGAGAGACGTGGCCAGCTGCATACTCAGGCGTGTCAATAACCTGGGGCTGGATGCTGCTCTGTTTTTAACTGATTTTAAATTCTTAAAGTTAGGTGGCTTGCCTCCTTTTTATCAGGGTGTTTTTAAATCCTGGGGGCTTTTTAAATGTAAAAGAAGTGAGAAGTGTAACTCTCTGCACTGGTTATTAAAGGAGCCTATAATCTGTGGTGCAAAGATGGATGTGTGCTGCAGCACCGTGCCTGGGCTGATGGGGGTGCTGTGCAGCTCAAGAGTTGTCTGCCTCAAACAACTGATAGATGCAGCAGGACCAGAGCTCACAGATGTCCACTCTCTGGGCTCTGTGCTGGGGGTGCGCTCTGTCCGGCTGATGCAGAGGAGCCTAGAGCTCTGGAGGAGGAGGCTGACGGAGAAGGAGAGAATCCTTCTCCTCAAATACGGCTGGGGAGAGGCTGAGCCGGACCCCACAGACCCTTATCCCGAGATCTACTTGTGCCCTGGTTTCACAGAGCTCAGCGGCCCCCTCCTGAGACACAATGATGGGAGTACATTGAGCCTACACAAGGCTGACAAAAAAACTCTGTACACAAACTGTCTAAAAACGATCCACAAAACTCGCCTGTGTGACAGAGCGCAGTGTGTGTGGACTGAGAGGTTGGCTGGGCTGAGCCCCCAGTGGAGAACATTATACAAACCTCCTCTAAAAAAAAGAACTGGAGATCTCCAGTGGAGGATTTTACATGGTGCCATTGCCACCAATGCCTTTTTATCTGTTCTTAATCACAGTGTTGTAAAGGAGTGCCCCTTCTGTGGACTGACTGAGAACATTTTCCATGTTTTTACTGAGTGCAGGAGATTGGCAGACATTTTTAACGTTTTAACTCGTGTTTTTAATCTATTTGGTGTCATTTTTACTGCCCCTGTTTTTATTTGTGGAGTTGGTTTTAAAAAAACAGAAAAAGTAAAGTGTCGACTCCTAAACTTTTTAATTGGTGAGGCTAAAATGTCGATCTACCTGACTCGTAGGGACAGACTGCAGGGTGGGCCGACCCTTGACCCTGTGACCCTGTGGAGGTACAATGTGAAGGCCAGACTGAGGCTGGAGTTTTGCTTCCACAGGGTCACAGGGAATACAGATGTGTTTGAGCAGCAGTGGGCTCATGAGGAGCTGTTGTGCCGGGTGACCGGTGGAGAGTTAAAGTTCACATCCTTCCTCAACTGATCTATTGATTGTGTACCTGTTTGTTACAGTTAGTTAAATGTAAATAAAGTATTGTTCAAAAATCAAAAAAAAAAAAAAAATCTCTGTCTCCTTCTCTCTCTCTCTCTCTGTGTCTCTCTCTCTCCCGTCTCTCTGTCTCCTTCTCTCTCTCTCTGTCTCTCTCTCTCTGTGTCTCTCTCTCGTCCTGTCTCATTCTCTCTCTCATCTCTCTCTCTCTCTCTCTGTCCCTTTAACAACGTGTGTTGATAAGTGTTCATTTCAGCAGTTGATCATTAGTGTGTTATTATTATTATTATTATTATTGTCAGTTATTTATAGTGCAGTTGGAATTAAATATTAGTTTCCATTAATGTGCTAAAACCATGAAGAACCGAGAGGATTGTGTCTTTATAGTGAACATAACAATGATGATGATGATTATTATTATTATATTATCATCCCTGCAGAGAGCCAATCAGGCGTCGACTCTGGCCTGGGGGACGAGGATGAAGGGTTTCCTCATCTGCTTCATTCTAGGATGTGTGTGCTCCATCCTGGTGAGTCAGCGTGTGACACTCTTCCTACGGTAACCTGACTATGTCTGTAACTACGGTAACCTGACTGTGTCTGTTCCTACGGTAACCTGACTATGTCTGTAACTACGGTAACCTGACTGTGTCTGTTCCTACGGTAACCTGACTGTGTCTGTTCCTACGGTAACCTGACTGTCTGTTCCTACGGTAACCTGACAGTGTCTGTAACTACGGTAACCTGACCTTGTCTTTTCTGTCTTGTCCGATTAGTTACATTGTATCCATGGTAACAGCTTGTCTGTCGGTTGTCTTCTCTGTTTCCATGGTAACATCCCTGGATGTCTTTTTTTCATGTTTCTAGTGTTTCTCCTGTCTGTATCCATGTCTTCTATGTGGTTTCTATGGTAACAGCCCTTTTTGTCTTCCTGTCTGTACCTATGGTAACAGGATGTCTCTGTCCTCCCTTCTGTTTCCATGGTAACAACCTGCCTGTTTCTGAACCACCTGTTTTTTGTTTTCTAACTGTATCCATGGTAAGGACATGTCTACCTGCCCTGCATCCTGTTTCTATGATAGCCTCCCGTCTGTATCCATGGTAACAGCCTGTCTGTCTCTTTGTCTCCAGGGTACCTGTTTGCTGTGGATCCCAGTTGCTGGTCTCGTTGTGTTCGCTGTCCTCTACACAGTGGGAAACATCTGCGCTCTGGCCAGGTAGCAACCACCACACAACCAGGTCTAACCAGGACTAATCAGAACTAACCAGGTCTAACCAGGACTAACCAGGTCTAACCAGGTCAAACCAGAACAAACCAGGTCAAACCAGAACTAACCAGGTTTAACCAGGACTAACCAGGACTAACCAGATCAAACCAGAACTAACCAGGTCTAACCAGGTCTAACCAGGTCAAACCAGAACTAACCAGGTCAAACCAGAACTAACCAGGACTAACCAGGACTAACCAGGACCAACCAGGTCAAACCAGAACTAACCAGGTCTAACCATGTCAAACCAGAACTAACCAGAACTAACCAGGACTAACCAGGTAAAACCAGAACTAACCAGGTCAAACCAGAACTAACCAGGTCTAACCAGGACTAACCAGGTCTAACCAGGTCAAACCAGAACTAACCAGGTCAAACCAGAACTAACCAGGTTTAACCAGGACTAACCAGGACTAACCAGGTCAAACCAGAACTAACCTGGTCAAACCAGAACTAACCAGGTCTAACCAGGACTAACCAGGTCTAACCAGGTCAAACCAGAACTAACCAGGTCAAACCAGAACTAACCAGGTTTAACCAGGACTAACCAGGACTAACCAGGTCAAACCAGAACTAACCAGGTCTAACCAGAACTAACCAGGTCAAACCAGAACTAACCAGAACTAACCAGGACTAACCAGGTAAAACCAGAACTAACCAGGTCAAACCAGAACTAACCAGGTTTAACCAGGTTTAACCAGGACTAACCACGTCTAACCAGGTCAAACCAGAACTAACCAGGTTTAACCAGGTCTACCACACAGAAACAGACTGAGGTAGTCCAGATTAATCTGAACCAGGTCAAACATGGTCATTGTTTTATTGTCTGATCTCATCCTGGAATGAACTGAAGAACTACATTACCCATCATCCCTGAGGACCGACTGTGTGTGTTAAAGAAGTATAATATCGCTCTCTAGTGAAGGAAGTCAGTATCACATGTTCGTGTATTATTACTGTAATACTATAATATTACTGTAATAATACTGTAATAATACTGCAATATTACTGTAATAATACTGTAATAATACTGTAATAATACTGTAATAATACTGCAATATTACTGTAATAATACTGTAATAATACTGCAATATTACTGTAATAATACTGTAATAATACTGCAATATTACTGTAATAATACTATAATATTACTGTAATAATACTATAATAATACTGCAATAATACTGCAAAATAACTGTAATAATACTGCAATATTACTGTAATAATACTGCAATAATACTATAATATTACTGTAATAATACTGTAATAATACTGCAATATTACTGTAATAATACTATAATATTACTGTAATAATACTATAATAATACTGCAATAATACTGCAAAATAACTGTAATAATACTGCAATATTACTGTAATAATACTGCAATAATACTATAATATTACTGTAATAATACTGTAATAATACTGCAATATTACTGTAATAATACTATAATATTACTGTAATAATACTATAATAATACTGCAATAATACTGCAAAATAACTGTAATAATACTGCAATATTACTGTAATAATACTGCAATAATACTATAATATTACTGTAATAATACTATAATATTACTGTAATAATACTGCAATAATACTGCAATATTACTGTAATAATACTGCAATATTACTGTAATAATACTGCAATAATACTGTAATATTACTGTAATAATACTATAATATTACTGTAATAATACTGCAATAATACTGCAATATTACTGTAATAATACTGCAATAATACTGTAATAATACTATAATATTACTGTAATAATACTATAATATTACTGTAATAATACTGCAATATTACTGTAATATTACTATAATATTACTGTAATAATACTATAATATTACTGTAATAATACTGCAATATTACTGTAATATTACTATAATATTACTGTAATAATACTATAATATTACTGTAATAATACTGCAATATTACTGTAATATTACTGTAATAATACTGTAATAATACTGTAATAATATTGCAATATTACTGTAATAATACTATAATATTACTGTAATAATACTGCAATAGTACTGCAATATTACTGTAATAATACTGTAATGTATTATATTATATATATTATATTACTGTAATAATACTGCAATAATACTGCAATATTACTGTAATAATACTGTAATGTATTATATTATATATATTATATTACTGTAATAATACTGCAATAATACTGCAATA